GTTTTGTGTCATCAGCAAACTGGCTGAGGATACACTCTTAACTCTTCATCCAGGTCATTGATTAATAAGTTGAATAAGACTGGGCCAAGCACTGACCCCTGAAGGACACCACTAGTTATAGGCCTCCAACTAGACTCAGCGCTGCTGATGACAACCCTCTGAGCTCTTCCATTCAGCCAGTTCCCAATCTACCTCACTGACCACTCACCTAGCCCACACTTCCTGAGCTTCCCTATGACGATGTTATGGGAGATAGTGTCAAAAGCCTTGCTGAAGTCAAGGTAGACAACATCCACTGCTCTCCCCTCATCTACCCAGCCAGTCATGCCATTGTAGAAAGTTATCAGATTGGTCAAGCATCATTTCCCCTTGGTGAATCCATGTTGACTACTCCTGATAACCTTCTTTTCCTCCACTTGCTTAATGATGACCTCCAGAATGAGTTGCCCCATCATCTTTCCTGGGATGGAGGTGAGGCTGACCGGCCTGTAATTTCCTGGGTCCTCCTTCTTGCCCTTTTTGAGGGTTGGAGTGACATTGGCTTTTCTCTAGTCCTGGGGCACCTCTTCTGTCCTCCAGAACCTTTCAAAGATGATGGAGAGTGGCTCAGCAATGACATCTGCCAGCTCCCTCAGCACTCGTGGGTGCATTCCATCGGGGCCCACGGATTTGTGGACGTCCAGATTGCTTAAGTGATCTTTATGGTTCTTTCTTGATCTCTCTGTAGATCTCTCTAGCTCACACAGCATTTCACCCCGTGCTGCAGGGGAAATACCTGCACATTGGAAAAAGGGCAGTGAGCACCAAACCAAATAACAGCATGTTGCAGTGAGTGGGACCTTTGGGTAGGAGTTTGTGGAGACCCTGCGGGCTGACCCTGTCTGGATTTCCATCTCCAGTTCAGGCATGGCTGCAGGAGCTGGCAAGGATGCCTGCTGGGCCACAAAGCTGGGAAGTGTCATGATGAAGAGCTCGGGATGGGTCCAGAGTGCAGGGCACCTTCAGCACCAGGACGGGTGGTGGGACCAGAGCAAGGTCATGTGCTGGGGGCAGAGCAATGTCTCCATATGGCAGTGGGCTCAGGTGAGTGGTGCCATGCCATAGCCCAGCGAAGATGGGCTCTGGCTTGCTGCACCCGCTACCAAATCCAGCAGCAGGGTTCAGGGAAGGAGGGAAAGGGCAGCCAGACTATCCCTTGGCATGGGCAGAAAGGCAGCAAGAGTGAGTGGGCAAAGGGTGCAGGAGATCCTGAGCAGATGCCGCACTCCTGACAAGACCTGCCGCACCATGCCCATCATATTGTTGCCCAGCACTGCTAGCACTGCTGTGCCCATCACCCTGGTGCCCAGCACCACCAGTGCTGCTGAGCAAGTGCTCTCATGCCTGTGACAACCCAGCCTGCCAGCCTGCCCTGCAGGGAACAGAGGGTTGTGCAGCTACTCCAGCTCCCCACCGCTACTTTCTGCAGCAAGCAGCCCGTTTCCACAGCCCTCCCTCCCCATCTGCCAGGAGAGACAGCTCTGCTCCCAGGCCTCCCAGTCCCCGCGGGGCCACAGCCCTCTCGGTGCCTCCCTGGGGATCCTGCCCACAGTGGGTCTGCGCTGCGGGCCCTGGCCCCTGCGCCAGGACTCCTGCCCGGTGTGCGGGACGGGGCTGCTCCGCCTGGGGCACGGTCAGCCTAGGAGAAAGGTTGTCTCTGGCAGGGGACAGGGGATCCCAGCGCACACAGGCAGG